GGCTGCACAGATATGCCAGGCTTATTAGTGACCCTTTCTGCGGAGTGATTCTAATGCCTTTGTGTTTCCTGTGTTGCTACAGTTAGGGACTATGAGCTATTTTGGGTTTGGGGTATGTTCTCTCTTACACTTTCTTTCCTTCCACCCTATGTGTGTGTGTGTGTGTGTGTGTGTGTCTGTGAGAGAGGAAGAGACATTGGTATCTTAATGCCTCCATCTTTGTGACCTAGATTACATTGCTTTCTTAATCTTTGTGTATTTATATTAGTTTATGCTGATACAGAAAAATCATCAGCTTTACTGACATTTTGTAAAGAATGTTTTATTCTAATATAATATACATTACATTGAACAGGGAGTGAAATCGCTAGAGAATGAGTCATGCAACAGCTAGACATGGTGTCATAATATGTACCCGGTGCTAGAGATATAAAATGAACAGGATACTCCTTCCTGTAAGCACGGAGCACCCAGTCTTGTATTACATAAAAGTACACATTTATAATAAAAGTTGTATAAAAGGGTACAGATGAAATGGATATGCATACAGTTCATTGACAGGCAACTTACTTAGCATTCTTGTCCCATTTGGTTTCATTCACAGGATTGCAAAAAGTACAATCAAACCAAAGCTACCCATTAATTAGCACAAGTAAGCAGGTGGTTGCTTTTGTCCTTTTCATCAAGTATAACATGAAATGACCTCAAGTAGGGGGTGACAAGAGTAGAAAATTCTAATTTCAGCATTTACTCCTAAGTGTTAGCTGTTATCATATTTTATTACAGATGAAAAATTCTGGTTCTGTGTAGCATAATGCTTGCTTTCTAATTCATTCTTAAAATACCTAACTTAAGAGGTCATATTCTTTTACAGAACTCTTTAAAGATATTTCTCAATTTCAGTACCTTTAGGTTCACCCCTTAATTCTCAAAACGGGCTTGGTTGTAGGCATGTGGTCATGGGAATTTTCTGGTCGTATGTGTTCTCGATCCTTCTGGCTTGCACTTTCTGGAATGGATAATTCCAGGCTTTCTCTAGAGCAAACCTGAACCCTTGCTATTTTTAGGCACTGAGATCAGATAAGCTATTTTTGGTGGCTTGCTTAAAATATTAACTAAACACTACTTAAAATCAGTTTTATAAAATATTTCATTTAAAATCATCAGTAACATAATGGTGAAGATTTCAGTCTTTACTTAGAGCCTTTGTTTATTCATATTTCTCTCACAGACAACCTGTTAGAGCTGCATGGCTTTTTATTTGTAAGAGATTGTATTTTAAAAACACTTCCACCAAACATAACCTAGTAGTATCCACACACTAGTCATCTAGTAATTACTTTATCTTTTTTTAATTTTTAATTTTATTTTTATTAATTACAGTTTTATTCATCTTGTATCCCAGCTGTAGCTCCCTCACCCTCCCAATCTCACCCTCCCTCCCTCTTCTTCTCCTATGTCCCTCCAGAAGTCCACTGATAGGGAGGTCCTCCTCCCTTTCCATCTGACCCTACTTTATCAGTCTCATCAGGACTGGCTTCTTTGTCTTCCTCTGTGGACAGCTAAGGCTGCTCCCCCTCAGGTGGAGGAAATAAAAGAACCAGCCCATGTTTTTTTTGTCAGAGACTGTCCCTGTTCCTATTACTGGGGAACTGAGCTGCCTATGAACTATTCCTTTACAGGAGTTCTACGTTATCTCTATGCATGGTCCTTGTTTGGAGTATCAGTCTCAGAAAAGACCCCTGTGCCCAGATGTTTTGGTTCTGTGGCTCTCCTTGTGGAGTTCCTGTTCTCTTCAGGTCTTTCTATCTTCCCCTTCTTTCATAAGATTCCCTGCATGATGCAAAAGTTTGGCTATGAATCTCAGCGTATGTTTTGATACCCTTCTGGGTAGAGTCTTTCAGAGGCCCTCAGTGATAGGCTCCTGTCCTGTTCCCTGTTTTCTCCCACTTCCAATGTCCATCTCTTTTGCCTTTCTGAATGAAGACTGAGCATCTTACCAAGATCCTCCTTCTTGATTAGCTTCCTTAGGTGTACAGATTTTAATATGATTATTCTATGTTATGTGTCTAATATCCACTTATGAGTGAGTATGTACCATTTGTGTCTTTCTGCTTCTGGGATACCTCACTCAGGATGATCACTTTGAGTTCCCACCGTTTGCCTACAGATTTCATGATTTCTTTGTTTTTAATTGCTGAGTACTATTCGATTGTACCACAATTTCTGTATCCATTCCTCAACTGAGGAACATCTGGGTAATAAACTGTAATTAATAAAAATAAAAATAAAATATTATATAAAAAAGAACAAAAAATGGAGAAAAGCCTTGAACTCATTGGCACAGAAGACAACTTCCTGAACAGAACACCAACAGCACAGGCTCTAAGAGCAATAATCAATATAAATGGGACCTCCTGAAACTGAAAACCTTCTATAAAGCAAAGGACAGTGTCATCAGAATAAAATGACAGCCTACAGACGGGGAAAGGATCTTCACCAACCCTACATCCGACAGAGGACTAATATCCAGAATATATAAAGAACTTAAGAAGTTAAACAGCAATAAATCAATTACTTCATCTCTTAATAAGTGCAACCTCTACTTGATTTCATTCCAAATACTAATGCCATGTGTTCAGAGCAGCCCATGACAGAAAACTAATATCCAAGATGTTTTCTAAAAAATAAAAACAAAATATTTTTTAATCTCCTTTACTAATCCTTAATGGAAGTCCTGGAAAGGGTAAAAGGGTATTTGAAGAACCCTTTTCTTAGTGGCAAAACTTTATAAATGCTGTTATACATAAATGGATGTACATACAAAATTTAGAACTCCTCCCCCTTCCCTTTTTAGTTGTGAGTGTATGCATGGGTGCTTGCATGCATGCGCTGGTGTGTGTGTGTGTGTGTGTGTGTGTGTGTGTGTGTGTGTGTGTCTAAGAATGAAACCTAACTAACCACTAAGCTAAATCTTACCCCTTAAAGTATAGTCCAAGCTGGCCTTGAACTCATTATTCCCCCGCCGTTTCCCTGTGCAGCTTTTCTGATTACCATTATGAATCACCCTGGTGGGCTAAGTACTTTCCTGAAATTAACCAACTCATTATTTTCCATTTATATTTTCATACTATGACTGTACAGACATGTGTTTTTTTTTATTCTAAACTAAAACAACATCAAATATAACAAGGTTCTGTTTAATGCAGACAGCATAATTTAAGACCACATCCTGTTAGTACCGTGAGAGAATGGCTTTGTCAACTGACTGGGTGCTTGTCCATGCATTTCAGATGTCATTGGTGTTTGTGAGTCAGCGTAATTAAGCAACATGGGATATCACATTTGCATAGGATATCATATATAACCAAGACTTCATTGTAAGCTGAAGAAAGATGTTACTGCATTTGAGAGAAAATTATGTTTTCTAAAACTGTGCAGTTGTATTGATTTCTTTCAGACATCCAAAAACTTACTACGCATTCATTTTGACTGAGGTAACTGTAGAATTCCATCTTTTAGAACAAGAGTAAAGATCAAGACAAACACATCAGTGTGATCACAGTGTTCTTTTCATTTTGTTCACTTGAGCATTTCTTAACAGTCTTTATGAAGAGTGCTAATGTATGAAAGCCCTTTCCTTCTGATCCCATAATAGTGGAGGAATCTTTTATCATCTTCAAATATTTTGTTAGTACAATGTACATTTTTAAATGAAGATCACGTAGGCATTAAATAGAATGTGAATTGTGCTTATATATTCTGCTGAAATTGCCTTTATGTGAAGGAAATATGGTCCCATCTACAGATCCATATATTATAACCAGTATTTATTTAAAAATATTTGATCATCTTATCCATGGTCCTTTTTCTTGTTTATCTTCTTTAGGTGTACATATTTTAGTATGTTTATCCTATCTTATAGGTCTAGTATCCACTTATAAGTGAGTATATACCATGTGTCTCTTTCTGCTCCTGGGATATCTCACTCAGGATGACTTTTTCTAGATCCCACCATTTGCCTGCAAAATTCATGATTTCCTCGTTTTTAATTGCTCAGTAGTATTCCATTGTGATCAATCCTCATTTAGAAAGACAAAGGGGATGGACATTGGAAATAGGAGAAAACAAGTAACAGGACAGTAGCTTACCACAGAAGGCACCTGAAAGACTCTACCTAGCAGTGTATCAAAGCATATGCTAGGACCCATAACCAAGCCTTCGTCAGAGTGTAGGGAATCATATGAAGGAAGGAGGAATTAGTATAACCTAGAGGGGAGAGGGAGCCCCACATGTTCAAATATATCTGGGCACAGGGGTCTTCTCTGGGACTGTTTATCCAACCAAGGACCATGCACGGATATAACCTACAACCCCTGCTCAGACATAGCCCATGGTCGCTCAGTATCCAAGTGGGTTTCCTAGCAAGGAGGACAGGAATTATTTCCGACATGAACTCAATGTCTGGCTCATTGAGCTTCCCCTCCCCTCTGAGGGAGGAGCAGCCTTGCTAGGCCACAGATAAGGACATTGCAGCCATCCTGAAGATACCTGATAAGGTAGGGCCTGATAACATGGAAGGAGAGGAGGACACTCCCTCTCAGTAGACTCGGAAGGGGGCAGGGAGGAGATGAGGGAGGGAGGGGAGGATTGGGAGGGAAAGAGGGAGAGGGATACAGCTGGGATACAAGTGAATGTATAAAATTATTTAAAAATAAAAAATATTTTTAAAAAAATGAATGAAGTAAAATATTCCAGAATAAAACTTATAGTTGTATGGCCTTCTTTTAATATTTGTCACCAAAACTTTTTGTGTGATTGCTTCCAGAATATGTTCAGTGCAACTGGAACATTCTTTTATTTGAAAGTGTTTGGTATTTTCTTATAAAGCTTGAAGTTCACTTCTTTCTCTGTTGTAAAATGTTCTTTTCTTAAAATAAAAAATAATGGCTTCAGGCTTGACATAATCCATCTCTAAAAAGCCCCATGTTTCAACCAAAATGTATTTATTGAATGCTTACTATGTACATTCTTCTGATCTCACGTATGTTGCCCCAGTCACTGTCATCCACTTTATTCTGAAATTTTCAAAATTCAGTTTCCCACCTCAGCCCCAGGTATGTGTTTCAGATTTGTCTCCTGTTACCTGCTTATATTTGAATATATCTAGTGCACTAACACTTACGCTGGGGAAGCAACATTTGAAATACTGGGTATATGATTTTGAGGAGCATGGTTTAACAGCAAGGTATTTCCAACTGGAACAAAACTGTGTAGAGGTGATAAAGCTTCTGGCATACTCTTCCTATGGATATCTCTTTGTTCTTTGTAATTTTATGAAATCATTCATGCTACATTTTAAAATCATGAATAAAAATAACACAAGGTTACCTTTTTGGCCATTTTCTGTATTTATTTTCTTTTTTTATAGTCATTTTTATTTAATTATTTTATTTTTGTTAATTACAGTTTATTCACTTTGTATCCCCCCTGTAACTACCTTCCTCCTCCCCTCCGAATCCCACCCTTCCTCTTCCCCACCCTTGTCCCTCTCCCAGTCCACTGATAGGGGAGATCCGCCTCCCCTTCCCTCTGACCCTAGTCTATCAGGTCTCATCAGGGGTGGCTACATTGTCTTCCTCTGTGGTCAGGTAAGGCTGCTCCCCCCTCAGGGGGGAGGTGATCAAAGAGCAGGCCCATCAGTTCATGTCAGAGACAGTCCCTGTCATTTTCAATAAAGTTTTCATTCTTTGAGAAATTAATATAGTTTACCTTCTCCTCCACTAACTCTTTCTACCTCCCTATCCTTCTCTTAAATATAAAAAAAAACAAACAAACAAAAAAAAAACATGGAGTCCAGGGAGTCCAGTTTGTGTTGGCTGACTATTCCTGAGCATGAACTCTACCCTGTAGGGCAGTTGATATATTCAGTATCCATTTTTACAGTGTTGTTTAACCATCGTCACTATTCATTTTCAGATTGGCTTTAGCAACTGAATCTCTGTGCCAATATACAGTAATTCCCTGTTGCTGGATTCCTTGGCAACCACTGTCCTAAGGCCTGTCTCTATGACCTTGACTGTTCTAGGTACCTTATACAATGGAATTATACAATATTTACCCTTTTGCAACTGCCTTAGTACAGGTATACATTCTAGCTCATGTTATTAGTGTAATAGGCTGTTGTAGTAATACATGACCCAATTTTGTCAACTTGTATACAGTACAAATAATCCGTGTGTGTGTGCGTGCGTGTGTGTGTGTGTGTGTGTGTGTGTGTGTGTGTGTGATTAATGGTTAATTTAAGTAGTTTTTGAATAAGCAAATTCTACCTTTGTAGTAACATTTCACCACTTTCCCCAAGTGTCTGCTGTAGCAGCAAAAAAATTGGGGTTCACAAAGCTCAAGGGATAACAAAGTTGATACTTGAGTAGACCCAGTAATTATAATGGTAAGACTAACTTCTTTCCACTAAGTAGTATAACTTGAGTAGTTTCTTATGTTTACAATTGTTTATTTATTTTGTAGGCGTGTGATGGCATTTTGTGTGTGTGTGTACCATGGTGTGCATGTGCAGTACAGAGGACAACTTGTGGGAGTCAGTTTCTCCTGCCATGTAGATTTCAGGGATCAAACTGAGGTTCTTGGGCTCAGAAGCAACACCTTTACCTTTACATCTCACTGGTTTTAAAGTAGTTCTTTTTCCTGTGTTCCAAATTTGGAGACAGTTTGCTCCTTCAAACCATCATCCAAACGCTTGGCTTCTTTTATAAAGGAAGTGGAAGTTTTCCTACAAGGATTCCTTGCCCTTAACTGTGCTAAGTTTATGGTTATGGGATATAGTCACTTGGCTATTTGGAATTGTAAACCTATGTACATACCATCTTAGCATTTTAAATTATTTGAAGAACAAATCCAACACATTCATTTGTATTCTGTAACACTATCTTCTGTTATTAGAAAGAAAATATGGAAGCTGTCCTACTCCGAAATGTTAAGATTTTGGTTGTTTCGGTTATTTGTGATCGGTATTTTCATGGAGCCTATTAGCCGAGCTGCTGTGGGATAAGCTTCCTTGGTATTTTTTTTTTTTTTTTACTAAGCTTCATGCCTACTTAACAGAAATCTGGATGTTCAGAGTATCCTCCTGTGAAGCTTGTCTCTAGAAATGGAGCGATCTAAACAAGGTAGTTATAAAAACCTGCCAAGTCCCTTGGTTGTCTCAAAGTTCCAGTGAATAGCTGCTTGCTGTTAGGAATCCCTATTTTCAGATGTAGACATTACTTAGTTGTGACTTGAGAAAACTCAGCTGTATATTCTTCTCTGTAAAGTCACAGCTTTAAGTTTCTATGCATCCATTTTGGTGACAATTGGAAAGATTCCATTTTGAACTGGTACACACAAAATGTCATGCATTGTTTTTTAGCTTGAAAAAAAAAAAACAGGTGCTTTCATGCATACAGAACAGCAAAATAGAAGCCTATATTTAAAGGACTTTCTTTTAAATGTCAGGCTCACAGGAAAATTTCTGACTTTGAGTGGTAGAGAGAGCGGTGTGGCAAATGAACAAGTCTTAATTTATAAGCCATTATAAGAATTTTTCTTCCTCATAAAAGACATGTAAAGATTCACTGTCCAAGTGAGTTCCTTATAATGGAAACAGGGATTGTCTCTGACACGAACTGATTGGCCTGCTCTTTGATTACCTCCCCCTCAGGGTGTGCAGCCTTACCAGTCCACAGAGGAAGACAATGCAGCCAGTCCTGATGAGACATGATAGACTAGGATCAGATGGAAGGGGAGGAGGACCTCCCCTATGAGTGAACTGTGAAAGGGGCAAGGGATGAGAAGAGGGAGGGTGGGAATGGGAGGGGAAAAGGGAGGGAGCTACAGGTGTGATACAAAGTGAATAAACTGTAATTAATAAAAAATAACAATTAAAATGGAAACAAATAAACAACCCCCCCCAAAAAAAAGCATATAAAGATGTATCACATTCTCAGTTGTCAGGTTCTCACTGCATAATTGCTATACATTATATATATATATTATATATATATATATATATAATATATATAATTGCAAGTTAAATGAATCACTCCTAGAGCTCTGCTTCCTCCTCTCCTACTGTGGGTATTCATTTCTTTCCTAATGTAGACTTTTAGTACTTTGCTTTCTCAGTTCAAGTTGGACTGCTATGATAGAACAAAATGCTTGTCAGGATTTCTGGAGGGGGTGAAGAGAATGGGGGAAACGCTTTTTCTTGTATATCCCACATAGAGACAACATCAAGAAAATGACTGACAGGGTTGGGGAGATGACATGCAAGCATCAGGAACAGAATTCAGATCCCCACAATCCAGCTCCAAGCTGAATAAGTGCATCTTGTCTGTAATCTCAGCCTGCAAGAAGGTGAGGCAAAGAATTCCTAGACCAAGCTGTCCAACCAGGCTAGCCAAATGGTAAGCTCAGAGTTCAGTGGAAGAAAAAAGACTAAGAAACCTGCCTCTGTATATAAGGTAGAAATTGAAAACATTTTGTATTTACTTCAGGGATCTTTACGCATATATACACATATGTTCCCATACGCATGGAAACAGGCATATATGTATGCATATGATACATATACAGAAAAAAGACATCACTTGTGTCTTAATTTTGTCCTCAGTATTCCTTCCCTAATTCTTAACTCTAAGCTCATTTCAATCAGTCCAACTCTTTATTTTTAAGACTTCTTTATCTCATGAGTAGTTGTATTTCTGGGAGTCCATTCCCTGCCATGATAAAGTGAGTCCCAGTCTCATGAGAATATTGTAAGTTTTAAAATGTATTTATTATTTATTACAATTTATTCACTTTGTGTCCCAGCTGTAGCCCCTTCCCTTGTCTCCTCCCAGTCTCATTCCCCCTCCTTTATCTCCTCCTATGACCCTCCCCTAGTCTAATAATAGGGGAGGTCCTCTGCCTCTTCCCTCTGACACTAGCCTATCAGGTCTCATCAGGACTGGCTGCATTGTCTTTCTCTGTGGACTTGCAAGGATGCACCCCCCCCCAGGGAGAAGTGATCAAAGAGCCAGCCACTGAGTTCATGTCAGAGAAAGCCCCTGCTCCCCTTACTAGGCAAACCACTTGGAGACTGAGCTGCCTATAAGCTACATCTGTGCAAGTGTTCTAGGTCCTCTCCATGCATGGTCCTTGGTTAGGGTATCAGCCTCTTCAGGGCCCCCTGGGCCCCTTACACCCATCAGAATGGCTAAGATCAAAAACTCAAGTGACAACATATGCTGGAGAGGTTATGGAGTAAGGGGAACCCTCGTCCATTGCTGGTGTGAATGTAAGCTTGTACAACCACTTTGGAAAACAATCTGGCACTTTCTCAGATAATTAGGAATAGTGCTACCTCAAGATCCAGTAATAACACTCCTAGGCATATATCCAAAAGATACTCAAGTATACAACAAGGTCATTTGCTCAACCACATTCGTAGCAGCTTTATTTGTAATGGCCAGTATCTGGAAACAACCTAGATGTCCCTCAACTGAAGAATGGATACTGAAATTGTGGTATATTTACACAATGGAATACTACTCAACTATTGAAAACAATGAAATCATGAAAATTGGAGGCAAATGGATGGAACTAGAAAAGAACATCCTGACTGAGGTAACCCAGAAACAGAAAGACACACATGGTATGTACTCACTTATAAGTGGATATTAGACATATAATGTAGGGTAAACATACAAAATCTATGCTCTTAAAGAAGCTAAGCAAGAAGGAGGACCCTAGAGCAGATGCTCAGTCCTCATTCAGAAGGGCAAATGGGATAGACTTCAGAAGAAAACAGGAACAGGACAGGAGCCTACCACAAAGGGCTTCTGAAAGACTCTACCCAACAGGGTATCAAAGCAGATGCTGAGACTGATATCCAGAGATCAGGGAATCTTATGAAAGAAGGGAGAGATAGAAAGACTTGGAGAGGATGGGAGTATTAGAAGGAGACCAAAAGATCCAAAGAATGTTGCAAATTTTAATTGAACTCTTGAATACTACCAAATAATGTTAGCATATGAAAGTTAGCAGCAGAAGCTTAAGCATTTTCATCCCACCACTGGGGCTTTTAAATGACAAAAAATTAGTTGAAGCGCAGCAATGACTGTATTTTCCCCTAGAGAAATGGTTACTGTATAAAATTATAGGTAGTATCTCTGAAACCCTTCATGCTATCCTACTATTTGTGCATTTCTGTTAAGATTGTCTTTGGAAGCACACCGCCTACCTCTCACCCCTCCTGCTGCTACCACCAAGAACCTAGACATTGTTTTAATGAGAAAATGAAGGCTTCAAAACGTGAAATATTTTTCTTGGAATTGGGCTCAAAGAACACAGTTCATTCACAGTATGATTGCTGTCAGCCTAGGTAAGCCAGTCATTCCACCTCAATTCTGTGGTCTCACAAAGTTTCAGCGAATGGCATTCGTGAAGTACTGTAGAGAATGGAGTGTTTCAAGCTATATCTGAAAGAAAGAGGAAGTTGGTGATTTATTTTAAAAATAAAAGGTTTTATTGGGGGGAAGGTGGTTGGTGCTGGAGATCAAACCCAGTGCCTCGTGTAGTCTAGGCAAGCACTCTGCTACTGAGCTGTGTTTCTCATCATCCCGTATCAATCCAGTAGAGCTGGATGATGTGGGTGAGTGTGCACATGCCTTTGTTTTATAGTGCATTTCTTTATATCTCCCCTATAAACATTTTTTTTCTTGTTCAGCTCACAATGAAGTTAATTTTATCTGTAGTCGTCATATTAAACTACACACCCCTTTTTCAGGGTGGGGGTAGTCTTTTCCCCCCCGGATTCCATTATGTCGGAAATATATCTATTTAACATCTATTTAAAATATCTATTTAACATGGCTGCTAAAAGTTCTAAAATGTATGAAAACAAATGGGACAAATGCAAAATGTCTAGTGTCCCCAAACTCTAAAATCACAGAAAGCATTCAAACATTTCCACACATATCCACTTGCCTCCTTATTTTTCAATGTAATTACCCTTTTCATTCAATATTGTTCAAGATAATGACTTAAAGTGATTGTTAATCTTTTGAATTTTATATATAACTTAGTAATAGTTAAATGATGGCAAATGATACTTGTGTACAGTTAGCTGTATTGTTTAGATAGATTTGCAGGAGGTGCAGGCTTAGAACATTAAGCAGCACTTTTCTATGGAAAGACAATATATGTTCTGGGTCCCAAACAACCATGTTAAAGCCTGTATTTTATAACTAGGACACCGGTTACTATGTAAGAGTTAACTTTTTTCCTAGGATGCTATTACTGGCCAGGCATGTAACTTAAATTGTTTTATGTCTTTACAGGGGTCAAAACTATGGATGATAATGGAATACCTAGATGGAGGTTCAGCCTTGGATCTTGTGAGTTATTTTTAAATAATTATGTAAGACAACATACATACATAAACTTTATTTAACTCTGTAATTATGTAAGCAGTAGCTTTTGTAGGAGCTAACTTATTAGAATAAGATGCTCAATTTTAACTCTGAGTCGTGGGAGGGGAGCTTCTACTCTGTGTGCACAAACTACATTACAGATTTGATCATGCTGCTGACAGTCTTACTATACATAAGAAATGCAAATATCTTATTAAAACTACTGAACTGCAGAGTAAATGTGTGCCCATTTCTATCAGTTTGACATTTGTATACTTTCTTTAGTACTGAGTATATTTGGGTAAAAAATACATTTTAAGGACTGGAAAAATGAATCACTGGTTAAGTGCACTGACTAGTTAATGAATCACTGATTAAGTCCTCTCCCAGAGGACCCAAGTTCAATTCCCAACACCCACATAGCAGCTTACAACCATCTATGATTCCACTTCTAGGGTATCTGATGCCTTTTTCTGGACTCCACAGGCACCAGGCACATAAATGGTAAATAGATTTATATGCAAACAAAATATGTATACATAAAATGATAATGAAAAACTTTAAAATACATCGAAATAACTATCACTAACAGTGATCATAAACCAAAGGCTTGAGTCTTTGAAAATATAGGTGTTAGCTAGACTCAGTGGCGCACGCCTGTAATCCCAGCCCTCAGGTATGTAGAGGCTGGGAAACTCCTGTGAGTTAGAGGCCAGCCTGATCTACAAAGTGAGTCCAGGAGAGCTAAGGCTACACAGAGAAACCCTGTCTCAAAACAAACAAACAGCCCTCCCCAATCCTACAAAAACAGAAACATAACACAGAAAGATAATATATAGTACATATCAATAACCTAACTCTCCCCTTACAACATGATGGTAGTAAGAAAGATAATTAAGTCATGAGAGTGGAGCCTTTGGGAAGGACAATAGTGTTTTTATCAAAGGGATCTCAGGAGTACTTTCTAGCTCAACTTCTAGTATATGAGGGTACAGTGAGAAAGACCATCTGGAAAGGAGGAATAGTGTTGCCAGAGATATCCATCTGCTTTTATTCCTCAACAGGCAGAACTGAGAAATCAGTGCTTGCTATTTAACTCAGCCTATCTGTGATGCCCAGTTCTGACAGGCTGAGGTGATTAAGACTGAGGTAGAAGAGACACCAAAGGTGGTTGAAGAGGGAGTCTACAATAGATTTCCTCTGGAAGACTCCACTCAGCAGGGGATTGAAGCAGATACTAAGAATCACAGCCAAACTTAAGGTAGAGTGCAGGGAGTCTTATGGAAGTGTGGGGGTGTAGAAGGATCTGGAGGGGACAGGAGCTCCACAAGGAGACCAACAAAGCCAAAAATATCTAGGCCCAGGGGGGACTACAGAGACTGATACACAAACCAAGGACCATGCATAAAGAAGACGGACTCAAGGCGGACCGAGATGGCGGCGCGGGGAGGACTCTCATTCTGAGGAGCAGCACAGCAGGATTGTCACAGTGACCAGCAATCAGAACTCGCGGCCATAAAACACACTCATTGTGTTTCCCAGGTGAGAGGATACCCCATGGTGGGGGATTCAATCAGCTTTTAACTCACCCGGCTAAACCTCGGAAGAGATCCCCGTTCCACCAGACCCTTGGCCGCCAGCCCCAGCCCAGAGCCACACGCCAGTGTCTCTGGTCATGGTCCCAGACTGAACCGTACCCACCACACTATCAGAGACTGGAATTTTCAGTCGAGAGATAACTCCACGATGCAGGAAACAATTGGGACTGACCTTAGGTCACCCAGACATCCCCTGGAAAAGACTCGGGTTCTGCGGGCGACCCAGTAGCCAGCCCAGAGCGAGAGCTGGGGACCCAGGCTCCAGCACAGAACCCTGACTGCACGCCTGATTCACTGCCTCAGATAGAACTGTGGGCCCCAGGGCACCAGAGACTGTGTTTCACTGTCCTGTGCAAACACACAGGGAGGGAAACGGCTGGTCTGATCTCAGAGCACTCAGCTGACACCCCCACCACGAAAAGATCTCGGGAAAATTACCCAGTTTAGGTAGACGCCCAGGCTCCCAAAGGACAAAAAGGCAGACACAGGCAGTTTCAGCTAGCTGGCTGAGACTGAGTGGTGGGCCCCAGGGCAAAAAAGAGACTGGGAGTCCCTGTCTCCAGAGAATCCACAAGGAAGGAAGGAAACTGTACTGACTTAAATCACCCAAGCCTTCCCTAGAAAAAGTCTCACAGACCAGTGGGGCCGAGCCGCCATCACTCAGCTGTGCTCCAGACACAGGCACAAACAGTTGCTGAGTGCCAGATGTCCAACTGGGTCACAGCAGCTGATCATTAAATTTACAGCAAGAAACCCAGAAACAGGGTAGCTGTCCTCAGGACTTCCCAGGGTGAGAGGAGAACCCTTTTGACTAACAAAGACCACAGTTACCACTCAGGTCTCTATCCCTGAAGTGAGCAGCAGCAACTCCTGAAAAAATGCCAGCCATCCAGGGACTATACCCAAAAAGCTGAGGAGACTTCCTTCAGAAAAAAAACAGCTTTCTGCCAAGGGGATTCTCTCCACCACAGGAACCACCAGAAAATAACACCAAACACCTAAGATAGCACAATGGGTAGAGGCCAGCGTAAAAGCTCAAGCAACAAAAGACAGAGCAATATGACATCTCCAGAACCCAGTTACCCACTGACAAGTAGCCCTGGACACCCCAGCATAACTGAAATCCAAGAAGATAACCTAACAACTATGCTCATGAAGATGATAACAGAGGAAAAAAATAAGATATGTAAAGACATAGAGGAAGATAAACTCAAACAGCATATTGCCATCTGTAAAGAAATAGAGGAAGTTGGAACCAAACAGTTTATGGCCTTTAGGAATGAAATGCTTAAAGCACTGAATGAAATAAAAGAAACAGAGTTGAAGGAACTAAAAGAAAAAGAGGAAAGTACAATCAGACAGTTGAAGGAAGTAAACAAAACAACTCAAGACCTGAAGATAGAACTGGAAAAATTAAAGAAAACACAAATGGAGGAAATAATGGAGAGGAAGAATCTAGGGAAGAAAACAGGAACTACAGAGGTAAGCATAACCAACAGACTACAAAAGATGGAAGAAAGAATCTCAGGTGTAGAAGATACAATGGAAGAAATCGATGTATCTGTCTAAGAAAATGTTAAATCCAAAAAATTCCTGACACAGACCGTCCAAGAATTCCAAGACAATATGAAAAGACAAAACCTAAGAATAATAGGTATAGAGGAAAAAGAAGACTTCCTTCTCCAAGGCCCAGAAAATATTTTCAACAAAATAATTGAAGAAAATTTTCCCAAGTTAAAGGAGAGGCCAATAAGAATACATGAGGCCTACAGAACACCCAACAAATTTGACCAGAAAAGAAAATCCTCCCGCCACATAATAATCAAAACAGTAAGTATACAGAACAAGGAAAAAAATACTAAAAGCTGCAAGGGAATAAGGCCAAGTAACATATAATGGAAAACCCATTAGAATCACACCTGACTTTTCAACAGAAACTATGAAAGCCAGAAGGGCCTGGACAGATATCATGCAGACCCTAAGAGAACACAGATGTCAGCCCAGGCTACTATACCCTGCAAAGCTCTCAGTCCTCATAGACGGAGAAAACAAGATATTCAATGACAACAACAAATTTCAACAATACCTACACACAAATCCAGCATTTCAGAAGACACTGGAAGGGAAAATACAACCCAAGAAAATTAGCTTCTGTCAAGAAAACACAGGAAAGAATTAACCTTACTACAGCAAAACAAAAAGCAACCAAGCACACAACCTTATGAACACAACCAACATCAAAATCAAAGGATCTAACAGCCACTGGTTATTAATCTTTCTCAACATCAATGGACTCAACTCTCCAGTAAAAAGACACAGATTAACAGAATGGATACATAAACAAAACCCAGCAATCTGTTGCATACAAGACACACACCTAAGGCACAAAGATAGACATTACCTGAGGGTAAAGGTTTGGAAGATGGTTTTCCAAACAAATGGACCCAAGAAGCAAGCAGGAGTAGCCATTCTAATATCTGATAAAATAGACTTTCAACCAAAATTAATAAAAAGAGATGGGGAAGGACACTTCATACTGATCAAAGGAAAATTCCACCAGGAAGACATCACAATCCTGAACATCTATGCCCCAAATACAAGAGCACCCACATTTGTTAAAGAAACATTGATAAAATTTAAACCACTTATAGATCCCCACACATTAATAGTGGGAGACTTTAACACCCTACTCTCAACAAAGGACAGGTCAACAAAACAGAAATTAAACAAAGAAACAATGTCTCTGACAGAGGTCATGAATCAAATGGACCTAACAGACATTTACAGAACTTTACACCCAAACACAAAGGAATTTACCTTCTTCTCACCACCTCATGGAACCTTCTCCAAAATAGACCATATAGTTGGTCACAAAGCAAGCCTCAACAGATACAAGAAGATTGAAATAATCCCTTCTATCTTGTCTGATCACCATGGAATAAAGCTGGACCTCAACAATAACAGAAATAGCAAGAAGCCTACACACACATGGAAACTGAACAACTTGTTACTAAATGACAGCTGGGCCAGGGAAGAAATAAAGAAAGAAATTAAAGCCTTTCTAGAACCCAATGAAAATGAAGACAAAACATACCCAAACTTGTGGGACACAATGAAAGCAGTGCTAAGAGGAAAGTTCATAGCACTAAGTGCCTTCAAGAAGAAATTTGAGACAGCTCATTCAAGCAACTTAATGGCCCACTTACACATCCTAGAAAAAGAAGAAGCAGACACACAAAAAAGAAGTAGACGGCTGGAAATAATCAAACGCAGGGCTGAAGTCAATCAATTAGAAACAAATAAAACAATTCAAAGAATCAATGAAACCAAGAGCTGGTTCTTTGAGAAAATCAACAAGATCGATAAACCCGTAGCCAAGCTAATTAAAAGG